AGTCGGTCTTCGAAAATTATTTTTCCAGGTATTTTCATAAGAGTGGCTTGTTAAAACCTACTCATCTTACAACATGATTCCTTTGATTATATCATAGAGATTTTTTTTTGGTTAGTTCATGGCCATGTATGCAACTACGAATTTCTCGGCATGTTAAAGATATGACTCTTGCGCCGGTAACGTAGTAGCATCATTGTGAGCTTGTTAGAGCAGGTAGACTTTATTGTAAATTTGTTCATGCTGTGATGAAGGGTGGAAATTTTTTGAGTAGATTTTGTGAACGTAATGAAATAACATGTCTAGCATCTGATGAAGTCTATCCATATCTCATATTGACATTACACTCATCAAATAAACTATTTGACTAAGAATTACATGTTTCAAGATCTGTTCTATCTTTATCACATGTTAAACATAATGTATATCTAGTAAGTTCTTGAAAAACGGGTAGAAGGTTATCATATATACAAATCATACAAAGATGTAGCAATTGCAATATATTATGGGTGGGGCTAGTTAACTCTCACTTAGGGTTAATTAGACCTCACCCTACTATACGGTCTTATTTGATTGGTCGAACACCATATAGTTGCTACTACATCCCTACTACCCTGCATCTATCAATAAGAGAGTGAGGGTTTATTAACCCTAAGTGAAGTATAACTAGTCGTTCCCTATTTTAAAAATATTACAATAAAAGTTTGGTTATCATGATAAAATAAATAATTTTAACATCAGAAGCTCTAAATTAGACATATGTTATCATATTTTCATGTTGTATCATCAAAAAATTTCATATATACACACATTTCTCTAAAAAATTTCAAATATTTAATAAGGGACAACTAGGGCCACACCCGTTTTAACTAGGGCCACACCTGCTTTTGCTATGGCCACATCCGTCCGTGTAAGTTGTCTCGATCAAAGCCGCCGAAGGGGGTTGAAGCGGCATGGCAATCGAAATAGATCAATAGAACGGCAGCACCGGCGGCAGCGGTAGAAGAGGCAGCAACGCGGGAGACAGCGACGGCCTCAGCGGCCACGCGCCACTAGAAATCTCTCGACTACGCTCTCCTCTATCTCGTGGACGAGCTCGGCTTAGCAGCTGGGTTTGAGGGGAGGAGTGCTTTGAGGCGCAATCAATTGTTTGTATGTAGCGGGTGTGGCCCTAGTAAAAACAGGTGTGGCCCTAGTTGTCCCCTATTTAATATACTCAAAGGAATTATTATTTTTCTAAAGCCTTCATTATGAAAGATCTTTGTAACATATAAAGTATGGTGTATAGAGATGCATATAATGTGCTTATAGATCTGAATGTAACCACAAAATGAATATTGATTGTTGTTGTTAATAAATCAGAAAAATTTGTATGATAAGTATAAATATAAAATAAATTTTTTTAAATATATGGGTTTTATGTAGTTATCTTAATTAGTTTTCCTATAAGCACACTGATCTAAAGATTGTCAAGATATCATCAATACTGTTAAAAAAGTATTACATTTCTTTGTAAAGTATTATAATACAAATTGAAAATCATAAAATTATTCAATAGTTAGACTTTTTAATAAAAAATAATTAGCTCATTTCAAAATATACCTATTTTACCACAGCTCTCCACTATTTGTCTTTGACAACTAAAGTCAAACATATAATGCGATTGCTAGAAATCTTGTTCCCAAGTTTCAGATGTTTTGAAACTGTCCGCATTGCTTACCTTAGCAGAACTCAGCAGATTTAAGGAATCGAGCGTGCGTTTTCTACAAACCCCGAGTCGTAGCGAATCACATGAAGACATCGCCGGAAAGCGTGATGGCCCCCCTCCGTATCTCTTGCTTGAACTCGGAAAGCAAATTCTGATCGCTCGTATGCATTCCATGAAAAACTCTTTGCTTCCACAAAGCACTTCGCAGCCCTCTGTAGAGACTGATTATGACCACTGAAGATGAAGATCTACACAGCAGATACGTGCTTTAAAACTGATACGTGCTCACTCCCTTGAAGTCCAATCCGCTAAGACATTGCGTGTCTCGGGTCTTGCTCATTCTCGATGCTGAGACTGAAGCTAAATATCAAGCTGAATTTCTTTGGGCCAGATATGCTACGGGTTTCTAGAAACACGTATGGGTACTTGGGAACTTTCATAATTTATACGTATTTGTTAAACATGAGTATCTATACTGTGACTACATGAAAACAACTCTGAATGCGTTCATGATAGGATTTCGTTGTCCATATGTACAGTATCACACATGCCACATGCAGATATGATCTGTAGCTCAGATTGGTATTATTGGCTCGAGGATCGAATTTGGAATCATACAGATGGAGTCCAATGCAACCTGTCTACTGCTACCAGGCAAGAAGTAATGGAACAACGCTGAATTCTTGACTGCAGTCCTGGTACTACTGTTCGTTTCATGTCTCACATCCGAGCGAATCGTAAATTTCCGCCGGATCCATGGTCTCGGCCGATCGGGGGATCGTTCTGGTCCTTCTACCATTCGAGATCAAATCACGAAGTCTTCTCAGAAATATACATTCTTCTTAAGGTTTGGTAGCAGTCGCACCATCTGTCTGTACATCCAGAGCTCAGCAATGGAGGTGCTGAAGATGCAGGACAGAATTTTCTTTTCCAGGCAATTTACAGGATACGGCATGCAGCTCGATTGCCAACGGGAAATGGCTTCCAGTACAGCAGGAGCAAACCACACGACCATGCGTAAAGTATAATCTACATTTCCCTCCAGCGCCAGAGTCGAATATTTCGCCTGGCTAAGAGAAGCTGGGATCTGAAATTTTCTCTCAGCAACATCCGCGTAAGAGCCTCAAGGGCCGTGGATAAGCACGAAAGGTGTGATGGCACGAAAGGTCGAAGCTTGTGGTCTCAGTTCAAACTCGCTCGGTCGATACGGTGATGAACTGATGCACTTTCAATGGATCTGAATATTGAATCTCTACCATCACTAGCCACAAAGTACTCTTGGAAGCTCTTGCTGGATCAATTCTAGCCAAATTCCAACCAATGTGACATCATTTTTCATTTCATTTTGAAATCACACTTTATTCTGTGACAATTAGATGATTATCTTGGGAAAAAAAATCCGAAGATAGTCATACTAGAAAAATTAAGTTTCATCGCGAGAGATCATGAAGGTATATGATGATATACCTTCATGGAATACTATCATGAATATCCATTAAATCCAGGAATAATCTGCAGTATTTGTAGAAGTTTATGAGCCATTGTTTGTCAAAGAGCTCCTGAGTGACAAGAGAACTATGTAACAAGAGATTTCGATGAAGCTTTCATTAACTCATTAACTTTCGGAATCGCTGGAAGGAATGGGAAATGAGCTCATGGGACAATTGATATTCCGCAACAGCGAGTTCGGATCAGGGAAGTTGCAGCAGGACGGTTGGGAGTCATTCATGAAGGTTCATTCTGACACACTCTGCGGTTTCGATGGGCAGAGCAAACTCAGATGACCACTTCCCATACCTGCGATAGACATCCATTGCCTCGAGCATCGATTCCAAGGATAATTGGATCCAGAACTCGTCATCGAATGCAGCAGGAAGACAGAGTGATCGAAGAACTGCGAACTGAAGTGATGGCAGATATCCTCTTGAATCTGAGAGATCAACACAAAGCAGACAAAGGCGCAACTGACGGGAATGTGACAGTGGTTTGAAAGCGAAGGGAATGGTTATAAAGTTAGTTGATATTGTAGAACGATCTTTCGTATGATGACGAATGTCTAAAATTATTTTTGCTGATGGCTGATATAAGAGTACTGTAACATAAACATTCGCACTTACTTTTCACATTTCGCAAATATCTGGAATTTTGTTTCAACTGCGTCGTTGAGTAAAGTATGTTGCTCAAAGTTACGTAGTTTTTCGAAAGGTGAAGAAGATTTGACTGAATCATAACTTCATTCGATTATAGATTGTTTAGGGTGGAAGATGAATGCCGAAGTTCCGCAGCCAGGGCACAATGGAGGTCAGATTTCTTATTACTTGCTTTCAATACTCACAGTTGAATGGTGAACTAGACATTACGTTTACTGCAAGTGAACAGATATACCATTGTTTGGTAACGCATTGGGCCACATAGTGAGTATTTTCTTGTCCTTTGGCGTGCTTCAAACTCTTTTGCGTCAAGAAGGTGATCCGAACGCATGACAATTTACCTTGCGTACTAAGGGTACATGGGTCTGTGATATATTACAGGTCTCTTTCCACTCAATCTTCTGAGAAGCTTGGTACTTATACTTTCAAACACAATTTAACACAGCTTACTTCATTTCCTACGGCCAAGATCAACTCGCATCTTTTGAACCTGTCTGCTGAACTTCTCTCTGAAGGATCAGAACTAATAGCAGCTTTATGGATAGGGCGTTTGGATATTTCCTTGGAAAATCCGGATGTACTGAGTGAAGCTCAGCTCGAGCTAGAGGAAGTGGTGGGGAAAGATGGTTGAAGTGGCTCTGCTCCCTAGACTGGCCTCATCGGAGGGGTTGTTGAAGAGTCGTAGTGTCTGCATCCACTTGCCACTCTAGCTCTTCCGCATTCCAACACTACGCATGCAGATCGGCTAATAAATGTATACAAGTCTTTCATAGTCTCTGTCAAAACTGTCGGACATAGGGTCTAATCCGTCGCTGTGTGGCCAAAACCAAACGCGTTCTACCCTCGAGAAAATCACATGAGAGCTTAAGTCTTTAGTGAGATAGGATGGGTTCCAAGCCGGCGCAGTTCATTCCTTTCAGAATGAGAAAGCGAGACTGTTCTGGTAGACAACTTGCGGATCAGACTGCAACTGACTCAAGCACCGCTCATGATCGGCTTCGACTGGTAAAATTTTGAAAGTCGACCTGACTCCATATCTACCCTCATAGATTCCTTGGAAGTGTGACAACAACTGCTTAAGCTGACACGGCTATCTTTCAGAACGGATAGGTTCAGATGGTACACAACTCGTAAATGGAACATCAGGTCCGAACACCGAAAATCATAGACGGCTTAAATTAATAATATCCCCACAAACTTAGTAGGAAAGAAAAAATCTGTTTTGTAAGAGATGTTTACACCACCAACAACGTAGCAGTGTGATTATCAGGAAACTGCGTCTTGTGTACGTTACCTGGGGACATATGAATCTGACCCTAACAATTTTCGTCGAAGTCCAAAGAAATGGGACTCAACACTCCTGAATTTGTACAGATTGAGATTCCTGTAATGTACACCGAACAATGAGACGTGGACTGAGCTGTGCTCTCATTAGAGAAACTTTCAGCTTTGCCACTGGCAGAGGGTACCAATAATATGCATAGGCCTTGCAGAGATGCCTAGGGTGAATGTACAAAAGATTCTCCGTAGATAGAAGATTGATTTGATCGCGCTAAATGGGAGGCTCCAGCTCCATCTCCACTTTGTTCTCCTGGTCTATCACGTTCAAGAATATGGGGTCCACCTTAATCTCACTCCTCACATGTACCTACAGAAATGTTGCAGATACACAACAAAAGGTTAGCAGTTGAGGAAACAAACAAAAATCTGCAAGAAGGTCGATGAGAGCTTGGTGAATTCTGCAAACCTCAATCTCAAGGAGAACGTGCTTGAGATACAAGATCTCATCAAATAACCACAGATATGAAACTGAATCACAACGTAGCACGAAAAATCTTGATTGCACAGTAGGATTTTTAGTGTCCAAAGGACAACTTTTGGAAATGTCCGAAATGAGAGTGGCTAAAACCTTAGCTCAAGTAAGACACGGCAGGGATTGCAAAGCACAACAGCAAGCAACAGAGTCACAATCAACTGGCAAAATTCTTAGGTACACAATGGGTTGAATATCTAAACCATTGCATTTCATTGATGCAAACCATCAAGTATAACTTTTCAAAAAATTTCAAAAAACAGTATTTTTCAATCTGCTCAAGGCAAATAGCACTCGGCATCCAAAAAACACAGTTGGTTAGCATTTTAGATATCCCAAGTACAGTCTAACCAAGATATTGAAGTGACTACGAGATCTCCGAAATTGATGTCTTAGACATCCTTATTTTCAAACTCCCATTTTCACTGGAACTTTATCAATATATAATAATGAAAGCACGTCATATAGATGGTCAACGGCCAGTTCAGGTATTTTAAATTCGCTTCTTGATGGGCCTAAAGGACTGTCAGTGCAAAGGTTTGCGCAAGTAGCTGTTGCGAATTTAACACTGAGTTCAAGTTGGTTAATCTTTCACTCCAACACACAACGGTCGTACAAGCTTAAGGTCAGCCACTTCTAAGAAATATGAACTACGCAGCAAAAACAGTGAAGCCAAATACCATGCAATAAATCAGACATGAAATACAAGATACAGAACAATGCTGAACAGGATTATCTACCTCAAAATTGTGAGTCCACTTCCAGACGCGAGCATGACCAGCTATAGTAACAACAGAATGAAGCGTCATTTCTCTCTTGGTCACATCCTTGAATAAATCCTTGACATGATTGGTCATCTCCAGTCCGTCCAATTTGCACGGTACTTCGATGACTTTGGAAGATTTAGCGTCTTGGCCACCTTCCTCCACCTGCAACAATCAGACATGGAGCTCGGTGTGAGCAAAAAGTTTCTAAAAGAGCAAACGCGGCACGGGATTTTAATAAGAAATATGAAGACACGCTTGTTGCAAACTGTTGAAAACCAGGTGATCCTGTGCACTATGATTCTCTGTTTTAATGTAGAGTGAAAACCCAGACAATGAACACGCCAGAGGAAGAAGACTCAATCATCTCCGAGTTTCTGACCTTTGCCTGCCCCAGCAACGTCCCTCTGTAGAAGATGTCCATGATCGTCGATGAATACTCTATCGGCGCGATATTTTCATTGGTCACCTTGATGCATAGAATGAGCTCGACGTCGACCACAGCCATGAGCATCGGAGAGTCGGTACAAAACCTAAGATTGAAACCATTCAGTTTAATCTCCACGACCTCGAAAATCGGGTCCCGGGGTCGGATCGAATACAAACACGACGCCGCACCGCCCACAGCCGCACTGGCGAGAACTGCCACCGCCGCCATCCCAGGCCCTCTGCCGACGAATTTCTTCTCTCCTTCTCTCTCTCGGCCGACGGATGAGCTCTGCTTCATCCGCGCGACGGCTGCAGCGTGCGATTCTCTACGCGCCCGGAGCTCCTCCTCCGGCACTCGACTCACGAGGCTCTTTATGCTCCAGTCTTCCCAATCTTGCATGCGCGGCGTTTCACAATGAGAACGAATCCCCGATCTTCACAATCTAAGTGAGCTCCAGGACGAGAAAGTCTATTGAATCTTCGTCTTCAGCAGCGGCGGCCACGGCAACAACGACCGGTCCTCGCAATCGCGACCTGCTTCGGGATTGGATTTCGGGCTTTCCAAAAAGCGCAAGTTCTGCCGAAAAGAACAAAGGGCGAACGACTGGGAGCAGAGAATGACGCAGTGACGATGCAGCCCCCGTGCCGACACCAATCGAAGGCAGCGAGCAGATCGCCCAGTCCCGATGTCTGCAGAATTTGTTCGAGCAACGAGACTCCGCTCTGCGAGGGGCTGGCTGCCCTGTCCTGTGACACACGTGTCGTGCGTTCGCCCCATCCTACTTGTAGCCAATCTGGCACTCACACCTGCGAGCTTCCGTCGTCGACACGTGTCTAATTCCTCATGCACGTGCTCTTGAGGACTTATTGCAGCGGAGGTTGCAGACGTGTACCGCATATTAGTGATGGGATTTAATGTCAAATCTAGCGGAGATTTTTTAATATATTGCTAAGGAAGTATTTTTCACTGAACTTCATATTTGCTTTCCACATGATTTTGTCATACCCGTCCAATCTCTAATCATTACCCACTATATTCCGAAGTGGTGACCACACTACCTCACATCTTCAATATGCCCTAGGACAGTATTTCCAATTTTAAGAGTTATTACTAAAAATAAAGGAAAAGGAAAACTCTCAAAATATATCGGAAAACCACTAAACTTTCCAGAAATTATTTAGAAGTTTAACACAGCAATGGAATGTGTTATGGAATTGCCATCTTTTGATTTTTTGTTTCCTATTGTTTGACATTATACCTTTTCAGAACAATGTCGATTTTTTTCCCGTAGATGTGATTTGTGAGTTACCTCTCTGGTTGTTTTGGCTATCTTTTCTTGATTTCACCTGATCATTCTCTTGCATATCATGAAGTTGAAGTAAAAGGAGTTGGTGAACCGTGGTGGGCAAGTGGAAATAGGTTTTTAGTAAAGCGGGCATTAAGATGGAATTGAAGTGATAACCATATATCACCGTGGTACATTTGCTCTCACTGAACTTTCTTTGGTCCTTGGATTTGGCTTCCTTCATATACGGTGCCTCTACTTTGCAGTGTTGTATAGTTGACCAAAAAAAACTGTGTTTTCTGATCACAGTTCTTTATGCGTAATCCACTCATTAAATATAAATTCGTAGGCAGTCATTGATCAAAATCAGGGAAGAGAAATGGGGTAAAATGTGTTATGTAAGGTATAGATAAAGCTTGAAAAAATGACTCATTCACTGGAATACCTGAATGGTTGACTGAAAAGTCAACCATTGAGAGTCAACTTGTGAATATCTCCGTTTTAAAGGTGAAAAACAGTAAATGTGAAAAAAAAATTATATTTTTTAATGAGGAAAATTGAAATATGTGTGAAATGCATGTTACTTATAAGTAATGAAACTGCTGTAGTTCCATCGAAAAATAAGAGAAGATTGCACTAAAATTATTAGTTTCTTGTATAGATTGAATAGATAAATTTGTTTGTTCACTTTTGTTATAATGATGATCAAGCTCAATTTCACTAGTCTCATACATTTTCGGAGCAAAAGTCTAGAAATTTTATTTTTGTAACTTCTTACGTTATAAAAGTCAACAAATATGTAAAATGGAATTAAAATTGTAATTACGATGAGAAAAATAAAATAATATATATATACAAAAGATATTGATCAGTGTTCACAAGCAGAAAGTTAATTGTATCATTCTGAAAGCCTATTCCAACAAAAAACGGTTAGCTTTTTAAATCTTAAATTTATTATACACCAATTATCACGCTTAACAAGTGTTCCACAAAAAATTGACTTTTATATTATCAAAGAGTAAATGTAAAAAGAAATAATTTGATTTTGATAAACATTTGCGTTGAGAATTAAAAAATGTTTCCGAGTTTTTTGTTTTTTCCATACAGCTTGAGTATAAGCTAAAACGTTGTAACCATTTAGAAACATTCTTACTTCCATCAATTCAGAGTATATTATATAACGATTAAATTTTATAAAAGTGTTAGAGTTTTAGAAATCAGATTTTTCTAAGTATGCTCCTTCATTTATATATTAAAATTTTCTTCTAAAAATGATAATATAAAGAAACTTAATTAACTACCTCAGATTGAACGAAATGCAAATTCAACAGGGATACATGAATCAAAAGCAAATAAATTATTGAAACTGGATAAACTATATCACTTTTGTATGAAGATGTAGCTTAAATTCATCATATATGTATATAAAAGTGAAAAATAGAAACTTAGAAATTTTAGTAACCAGATGATTGAGTAATTCTCAAATTCTCAAATAATCATAATCAAATTGTTTACATTAGAATGAAAAAAATCAAGGTTTTTACAATTTTTTCTATGAATGAAAATATTTATGTATAAGACGACTGAATCTTGAATATGAACCTAAAATTTTAATATATATTTTTTGATTTTTTATTCAACATTCAAAGACACCAAATTTCTAATAATTCATATTTACTGTTTTATATCAAGAATCAAGTGATGACTATGTATCTAGATTATATTTAGCAAAACGAGCGTAGTTTGAACACAAAATATGATAACATGAGTGCGACATTTTCGGATTTTGGATAAATGAACATATAGAAGAAACAAATCGGAATCCAAACGGAATCCCAGTCAAACCTTGCGGCCTCTTCGTTCCAATCAATCCTAATTAAACTCCTGATTCATCATAGTACAGTACAAGGATTTATCTGTTTACAACAAAGAATGATGACACCAGAAAGCGAGCCGGGCCGGTTCCAATAGACTCCCGCACTCGTGCCCACTGTCTAGGACCGTCGATCATGCCCACTCCGCTGGAGCCAGATGGGGCCCACCACCTCAAGCCTCAGGAATTGGGAACAATTGTCAATCCGGGAAGGCGGGTGGGAAACGAGGACCTTTACTTTCTCACGGGCGTACTTATCCAGAAATCATCCGGGTGGCCCGAGATACCGCAAGAGGTTCCTGTGACGCGCAGGCCTCGCCCTCGTCGTGGGTGGCGGAGGGTGAACTTTTCCCCGCGATTTCTTGTCCACCCAGTGAATATGCAGAATCTGTTCTGTCCGCTGTAGGCTCGGGCTGGGGCTATGGGCGAGCCTCCGCTCCCCTCCGCTCCCCGTCAGCGCGCGCCTGCACCTCCGCCTTCCTTCGAATCGGCCGCGGAGCGTCGTATTGTCGTTGGAATTCCACGCTCGAAGTCGATGATCTGATTCGATTTGAATTCCGGCACGGCGGCTCTGCGTCGTACCGCCGGGGCGCGCGGGTGGAGCGTCGAGAAAGATCGAGAATCTGGAGCCGCGGGCGTCGTTTCTTCTTCTTCTCTCGGGGGCGCATTCCTCTCAGTCTCGTCGAGGTACTTGTGGTCTCTCCGGCCTCTCGGTTCGTGCGCTGTCGGCGCGGCGCACGAAGATGTTTCCAGTTCTGCTCCCTTTGATGCCCAGAATCTCTTTGCACGACTTCGTCGCAAAACTCTGCGAGAAATTGTTATTTAATTCGCATCACTCCGCGTCACGCTCGGTGGAATCTGTCAGCTTCTGGGTTGTGGAGTCTCGTCCAGCCAGCATGAATTGTAATATCAGCTCATCGCCGGAGCAGGCGTGAATTGGTTCAGTTCTCTCTCCTTCTCCTCATTCCCCAGCTCTTTCCTTTCTCCTCCGTGAGAAAATTGGGAACGATTTCGCCGTTGCCTCTTTTTGGGTCGATGTTTACGAGCCTGGTTTCCGTACATTTCTGAGATTTTGAGTTCGTGTACCGGACAAATCCCCAATTGCGCCAACGTGTGGTGGTACCTCAGAAACTACCAGCACTTCGATAATTTTGTGCAGATCAGTCGTTGTCTTTTACGTATGCCCGGATTTCGGGAGCATGAGCAGAGGCTGATCATTCTTGTCGTCTTGATATTTTTTCTCGATGTCAGCTTTGTCTCCGACACTCCACATTGAAAGCCGCTTGAAACGCACTCATGTCCCTGAATATAGGATGCAAGGCCCCGCTCTGCTGTCCGGATTCTGATTGCAACGCGTTGTTGTGCAGACGACAGGTAGCCAACTTTCACCGAGGGAATGGTGTGCGTAGTGCAGCAGTTTTAGATTTAGTGGACCATAAACAAGAATGACTTCCCAGCTAGTCTCCCCGGTTGTTCATCAAGGATCTTCCTTTCCAAGCCTCGCAGGACATAAATCAGGAGAGGGTTACTCTGGTATGGGGAGCCTACGCAGCGAGTTTTTCCTTCCTCTTGCTCCTTCCCTTCGTCTCAGTCGCTCGTACGGATCAAGAGAAGCCAAAGTTTACAGGCACATACGCAGGGTCGCTCTTCATGACATCGAAGCTGGAGCAAGTTCTCTGTCATGCCTCAAGTCATCGTTGCCTCGGTTGGACAAGTCATCGAAGCTTGCAAGTCAAGGTTACAGAGGTTGCAGGAACGGATGCGGTTCCCGCGCAAGGGGAACGAAAAGATTCGCCATCAGTAACCTGGAAGTAACCGGATTGAGTGAGACCAGCGATGCTATTGGAACTCAGGATACTGATTCAGTCATACTCGATGTCCAAGGAATGATGTGCGGGGGCTGTGTGGCCAGGGTTCGAAATCTGCTCAGTGCAGACGACAGGGTGAACACAGTTGCTGTCAATATGATCACAGAGACCGCCGCCATTCGTCTGAAACCTTCTTCGCTAGCTGCAGAGGATAAGTTGAAAGTTGGCGGTGAACTCGCTTCCTTCCTTACTGGATGTGGTTTCACTTCCAAGCCAAGACCAGCAGGGAAGGCTGAGGGCAGTGTACACAAAAAGCGTGAGGAGCTTGCGAGGAAGAGGGAGGAACTGTTATTGAAGAGCAGGGGACAGGTCGCTTTTGCTTGGGGTCTCGCTGCCCTTTGCTGTGGAACACATGCCACTCACTTCTTGCATTCCGTCGGCATCCATGCGTTCATGGACGGTACGTAGCTGGCTGGTACCAAAAGATCTTTCACTCGTCTTTGGAAATTCTACTACTTCACACGGCTACGAGTGCAAATTTTATGCAAGTTGTAATATTTTACATGATCTCCATATGTTAGATTTCTAAAGCAATCGAAATATGTCACCTGATGGACCGCTTCCAAATAGCTGATGCTACACTAACTGCTACTGTATGCTGTAGTGATCTTTGAATAACGTTTCCCTACCCGGTCCATTGATAATTTTCCAGTCTTTGATGATCAAATAATTGCAGGTACCACCATGGGTTTCCTCCACAACCCAATCTACAAGGCGTGCATTGCCTCTGTGACCCTCCTGGGACCTGGTCGAGGTACGTAATTTTGCAGTATGGGTGAAGGATTCCGTCAAAATTAGTTACTTTCAGCTTGATCTTTTTGCTAGAACTTGAAAACCTCATGAAATGAAAGTCCGCGCAAGTACATACACTTCCACTACCTTAAGAAACGCTGTGTTTAGAAATTTTCCATCATCTCTCAAGAAACGTGAAATAGGGCGGTTACTGGTTTGCAGATCTTCTACTTGACGGTGCAAAGGCTTTGTGGAGGAAATCTCCAAACATGAACTCTCTCGTCGGTGTTGGTGCGTGCGCTTCATTTGCAATCAGTGCGGTGAGTACTTTGGCCTTCATCCTTAAAAGCTTCATTCCTGGAAAATCTGCGGACTGAAATGTGCACGAAGGCAATATTATGCTGTCTTGATGCCGTCACCTGATTCAGATTTATGGTTCATGATTCCCCGCAGGCATCACTCGCTTTTCCCGATCTCAATTGGGATGCTTCATTCTTCGATGAACCGGTACATGGCGCAATTTAGTTCTCTCTTCGCTTTTTCCAGCATCATAAAATTGTTTCAGTATTGAGCAAAAGGATGAAACCCAACGTTGTCTTCTGTAATTTTCCGGCGTTCAATCGTAATTTGGTGTACTTCTTGTTCATCACAGGTTATGCTTCTGGCTTTTGTACTTTTGGGACGTGCACTGGAAGGACAAGCTAGAGCCGAAGCTTCGAGCAGCATGCAGGATCTTTTGGTAATTTTCCGCATATCCTTCCCTTGGGGTGTGTCAGGAAAGTATGAAATGCATACAAACGAGTTAAGACATTCTATTTGGCCACGTCATCGATGTACTTTCTTCGGAACGAGTCCCCATCACGCTTTCTGGACCAATTTTGTCTTTGTCTCTGCATATGTTATTAGTGCACTCATGGAGTCATGGGGAAATGGTTTCCTAGTTGGGCTCTCTTCAATGCTGATTTTTGAGTCTAAACTAGTTTTGCTTCATTGTTCTTGGAACTGTTATGAGGAAAACTCTTGTCGTTTTTCTCACCTTTTTCTTTGTAAAAGTCTCTCAATTTTTTGGCATAATGTTGTTGTAAATTTCAATTTCTTGGCTATTGTGACAAGCCTAGTTCAGTTCTGACGCCCTCTGTGTTGTGTTTGTTCAGTCTCTGTTACCTTCCAGATCACGGCTAGTAGTTTCGGAAACTGGGGCTGGGAATGTTCTCGAAGACGAGGCTGCACTGAGTCAAGGACTGGTGGTAGGAGTTGATTCAGAGCAACTTCGTCGTGGTGACTGCATCTTGGTTCTTCCCGGTGAAACTATTCCAGTTGACGTACGCATCTCCAACGAAAGTCTTAATCTGTGTTGTGTTCCATATGTACAAATTATCTTCAAGTACCTAGTTTCTTCGAAGCACCCCTAGCTATATGTGGCTCAAGGGTTCGCTGATAATGCAGGGAATAGTGATTAAGGGAAAGAGCGCTGTCGACGAGTCCATGCTCACGGGTGAACCCCTTCCTGTAGCCAAAACCAGCGGCAACAGTGTTTCTGCTGGAACAATCAATTGGGTGAGTGACTATCTAATTTCTTGCATAAGCTCGTCAAGTAGCTCCCAACCATCAATACCTGTCCTTGTGTTTGTCTTATGCCTTAGCTCTCTCACCACGAACAGTGTCCCAAAAGGTCAGTCAGGTGGTGTCCAGTGAGTCTGTCCAAAATATATTGGATCTGGTTCCCAGATAATTATGAGGTATGAATGCGTTGAGTTCTTGATACCAAGTCCATTTTCAGAGTAGTTGACCGAATGTAGCTGGTTAGATCTAACTTGTGCGTTACTACATCCAGGAAGGGCCTATCACAGTAGAGGCAACTGCTACCGGCGCTGAATCAACAGTTTCAAGTATCATCAGACTGGTGAGATTACAACTTCAGAATGTTGTGTAAGGGTTGGCCTATTTAGCTTTCTCTATGACCGTGCCTGACATTTATTTGAAGTTGAGCAACTGGCTACCATGGTATCGCAGGACAAAGAGTCATTTGATTCTGATACTATCTAGTTGCTAGGATGTAGAGTAACTTGCTTTCTGGTTATGTTGTGAAAATGAGCGCTCGAAGCATGACAGCAATATGGAGTCGCAGTTTTCAAATAAAAATGATTTGAGGAGGCTATTGAGCGTTTGTCTCTGTCTATATTTTAGGTTGAAGAAGCGCAAGGTCGCGAGGCACCTGTGCAGCGGTTGGCTGATGTAGTAGCAGGCCCTTTCGCTTTCACCATTATGGCGATGTCAGCTGCCACTTTCTCCTTCTGGTGCGTTCTCTTCCGTTTCTGAAATACATGTTGAAGGCAGTTGCAAGTCCTGAAACTAAGGATACACCAATCTAAGAAGAAAGGATGTTCAAGTAGATGATGAAGGATGTGTACGGCCTGGCTCAATTATGCGTAGCAGCAAAATTTTTACACTCGATTGTGTATAGCTGATTTCTCACTTTGCTTCTGAATACAGGTACTACATAGGGACGAATATGTTCCCAGATGTTCTTTACAATGATGCGGCAGGCCCAGATGGCAGCGCGTTGCTCCTGAGTCTCAAACTCGCAATAGATGTGCTCGTGAGTCTTCTAATATTGGAATCACTTACCAATTCTAGTGTCTTAGAACAGTTATTTGCTATTTTTCATTATAAAAGCTGTACTTATACGATAAGAGGAGACGTTAATGAAGTTATCTGTAAACTCGGAGGTGGCATTTTTGACCTACATGCCTCTAAAAAGCCTTTTTTATACTGTTTTGGTCGACGCATAGAACGAGTAGGATATCTGGACTTGAATTGCAGATGATATATCTTATCAGATATGCTTTGTATCAACTGTTAACATTGTGGCTTATGGTCGCTCTTGGGCGAAAAAGTGTTCCCCGTTGCTCCCTTGCGAGTGATGAGAACTTTTGGATTGTTTATGGCAGGTTGTCGCATGTCCTTGTGCCCTTGGGCTAGCAACTCCCACCGCAGTACTTGTGGGCACTTCTGTAGGTAAGATGGGCTCCGTTGCTGCTTCTCTGGTCTGAGGATACCGTTTGAAATGCTGTGCATCATGTTTTCGCCACGATTTTCCCTTTCAACCGTGGTGCAAGAATGACTTATGTACCAAAACGTTGGAATGATCCAATAGTACTTGAATTAAAAAGTATGCTCGACAAACTGTGCACAATTGAAACTAAATCAAGAGTATGAGGTCTTTGTGTAGACTGTCACAATGTTTTAACGTCTTGACATAGGGGCCAAGCAAGGACTGTTGATCCGAGGAGGAGACATTTTAGAGCGCCTGGCTAGTGTCGATACAGTTATATTTGACAAGGTATGTATGTCCGTATAATCGCATGCTTGTATAGATTATCATGAATGAGGCTTCGAGAACCACCTTGAAGATATTACAATTGTATTTTGTCGCGTTACAGTGTGCATCTTTGTAAAGATGCACACTGTAACGCGTTAGGTTTTATTTAAAAAAGTCTTTCTGCAGCAGCGCGAGGACGGGAGATTGATAAAACAAACAGAAAAGCTCTCTGTCAGATAATAAAAAGTTATAACTTTTCTACCTAACATCATCCGTCACATCTTTTTGGATATCTTCATTGACAGACAGGAACCCTCACCAAGGGACATCCAAGTGTAGCCGCTGTAACATCGGTGAATGGAAATGACGAAAATGATATATTACAAATAGCTGCTGCAGTGGAGAAAAATACTGTACACCCCATAGCCGCGGCGATTGTGAGGCGAGCGGAAGCCTTGCAGCTAGAGTCTCTTGACACGCAAGGCCAGCTGACGGAGCCTGGATGTGGAGCTTTGGCTGAGGTAAATGGCTCCATCGTGGCTGTCGGCTTATTTGACTGGGTCCAAGGTATCTGCGGTAGAAGCAGTTCAGAAACCCCGAAGCCAGGTGCTGAGTTAGAGAAAATACTGCGGGACACCCTCAGCACAAAAATGAGCTTTTCACCTGCAAAGCAATCGCAAACGGTAGTTTTTATCGGCATTGAAGGGAAGGGAATCGTCGGAGCAGTCGCCGTGACTGATAGTCTTCGACCCGATGCTACAGAGACCGTTCGAAGGTCAGTCATGAAGTCAATATCTTTTCTCAGAAGGATTTCTCACGTCTGTATATTATACGTTACGGTGAATTGAGTTACATCCTGCAAATACTCTTCCTTATCCCCTCCTTTCTTCGTGGGCTGGTTCCCAGGTTGCACAACATGAACACCAAGACACTGATGCTATCAGGTGACAAGAAAGCTTCAGTTTCCAAGGTCGGAGCTGAGGTAGGCATCGGGGAAGGGGCAGTGCACGCCGAGTTACGCCCACACGAGAAGTCACAATTTATTACGTCACTACAGGATCAAGGCCATCGTGTGGCGATGGTAAGATTCTCACTGTGAATTCTCATTTGGTGTTTAAATCGTGCAATGTCCCTACAATAGCGTTCAAATGTTCACGTGCACCAGTCTTTGTTGCGAGGAACAGATATCAGTTTGCCTGTCTGTAAGATGCCACGCAGCCAAAACATCCTTATTATTCGGTGTATGCTTCGAAATGATTTCTTTGGCCGTACAGAAGTTGAGTGTTATGTGTCATTTTGTGCTCATTCACACTATTATGATGTTTTCATCTCGAGTACTGAGGATCAATGTTGGGTGTTCAGGTTGGTGACGGAGTAAATGATGCTCCAGCACTAGCGTGCGCTGATGTTGGGATGGCTCTCAAGGTTCACTCGCGCTTGGATGCCGCCTCTGATGCTGCTTCAGTAATTTTACTTGGCAATCGTCTTTCCCAGGTTAGATTCGCTATTTTCGAACCGCAAGAAAGCAAGTTAGGAATATACTTCTTAAGAACCTATTATAACTGCGGTCCGTCTTACAAGGCACGAACCAGTAAGACAAAGTCCTTTTGGTTAACCCTGCCTGTTCACTGCAGTCTGGTAGTGCATCCCATGAGCCTCGTCAGTAGACATTGATATATTTAGAATAACTACTTCTTCAATAGATACTGGTTTCTGCCATGTGTGCACCACGTAGTCTTGAACTACAAGTATCATATACTTGAAAACGAGGCTCGTAGTTTCTGGTGCCATCTCATCGTAATACTATATGACTTTTCTTGCTCTGTATGCTAATTGTGTCCATGTCATCTGACCAGGTTGTGGATGCAATAGAGCTCTCTCGCGCGACTTTGGGAAAAGTACACCAGAATCTTGCCTGGGCTTTGGGTTACAACCTGATATCAATCCCGTTGGCAGCTGGTGTATTTCTTCCAGCATACGACTTCTCTTTGACGCCGTCTATAGCAGGTAATGTGTATGTTGTTTTTTAACAGTCCTGGGTCATATTCGAAGATGATGGATTACAGGACTGAGAAAATGTCATTAAAGATTTCTCCGTTGTTCAATATTCATCGATGCATCTCACCGTGGTGCGCTTGGCGCTTTTATATCATTGCAGGTGGAATGATGGCAGCCAGCTCCATTCTCGTGGTAACGAATTCCCTTCTGCTTCGATTCTACCGCCCATCATCAGAAAGTAACAAGGGCTCTGCCGGTGAGGGAGCTTTGGCACAGGACTGATGATGTGTATATAATGCATCCGCCATGATGATGATACTGTGTCATGTTTTCGCACTTAACATGATATCTTATGATGTACATTAGGTCGACTTAACAGGCGGATGAGCCATATAATGAAGCACATATCTGAACAAGCTGAGTAGGACAGATGGAGTTGTCTTGAAAACACTTGTCGACCAAACTATAACGAAGTGTGACAGCTGTCAGCTTTCTTGTCCCGGGTTGGGTTTGGTTGTTGCTGAGAAGGAATCACTCCCTGTCAATGTGAATAGTGAGCTTTGTATCGTATTCCAGCTAGTTAGAAAATTTTGCACATAATTCGTAAAAGAGAATATCATGTAGTTCAAATTTTTGTTGCCGAAGCAACACATTATAGAAGCTAGAACCTATAGTCTCATTGGCACCTCAAGTGACGAATACTCTGTAGATTTCGGCTGAAAGACAGAAGTACAAACCAGAGTGCTGCAGTTTTACATTTACATTTCGGGGTGCAACATCACGCCCTTTCGGCGTGTCAAGCAAGAGTGCTTACATCAAGGAAATGTGTATGATAACGATCAGTGGCGAGATTCGTGCGGAAGAACAAAGGGATGTAAAAGCTCCTAAAAGTGTGGTGATGTGCCCAGCAATTCATGCTGTTGGCCTCCCAATTGAAATAGATTTGCTGCCCACAAATGTGGGTAAGGAGAATTCTATCGCAGCAGTGCTTGGATGTTGATTGTTTAAGACTCACTTTCAGGGGTTACTGTTGCACATTCGAAGATCCTGATTTGTCTTTCGGATGCAAATTTCAGTTTTGTATGAACAGAAGTCTCTACACAAGCTGCTGCGGTCACTGTTTATTACTTACAGTGAACCCCTATCCGTATATTCTGCTGTCGAGACTATTACATTGTAACAGAGCTCTGTCTTCATTTCGTTTGTGAGCCTCTCTCAAACGGATATCTGGATCGACTTAAATCAGCTTATCTCTGGATCGATCTACACAAGTCTAAACTGATGAGCTTCACCAAAGTGTCCCCGAAGGGTACCTGGATAAATCGCTCGTACAATCCTCCTGTATTTCTACGGAACTCCATCTTTGAGTTATCTCTGGCGTTGAGAAACCCAGAGATGTATGATGTCTTGACGGTGCATGGTATCATTCTGCCTCATATCAGTGTTGTGTACACAGAGTGCCGAGGGTCGATATTTTGCTCTGTGCAATTGATGTAGCTAAAGCTTTGTCCCTACGTAAACTACATCTGCAGTAGTTCTTCACTACAGATTGGAGTCATCTACAACGCCAGACATCATCCACATGTCGTTCTATCGAATGAGTTGCAGTGCAAGGTATACCTGTATTGATATATATATATAAACTGTACACTTGCAAAAGTGGAGTGTTTTAAAAGAAGGCAAGACATTAGACTTCTTGCAGTCTTGGAGTCGTATCCTTAAACCTCAAAACTTCATATTCCTCACATTGTTAGCTGTTGGACTAGCGTTTCTTCCTCGCACATATCACTCTACATATTCCAATGGTAGTTCCAGAGCGAACTGCACCATTGCAGAAACAGTTTTTGACTATCTGTTGATTATTCTTTTAAAAAGATATAAATTCATTCAGTCCTTTTGCTGTTAACAATGTCCTCTGAAGTCAATTTGATTAGTTAATCTCACTGAAATAGGTTCAACAACACAAATAAAAGCTTTTGAAATGTAAGTTTATCATTTGTTTATCGAAAAAAGTGTGTGCCAAATCCTTTGGCTGTAAATTACAATTAAACGGTTGCTTCCACGCTCTTCCGCACTAGATACTTACTTTAAAGTATCTAGTTGTCGGATTATATACATTTCCAAAGAAGTTCAAATATCCCACATGTAGTATAACTTTTTGAATGGTTGATCATGTCAGAAAATTCTTGTGATTGTAATTTTGCATTAAGTATTCACAATTCACATTATTGTTTTCAAAAAGGACTTAAAGAGCGCGAACATTCATAAGCTTGTGTAGTGACGGGGGACAATGTCCTGTGCAGTGCAGATGTCACTATGCTACATATTATCCTTCGTCTACGAATTCGCAAAATCAGTTTATTCTGAGATATGGAACTTCCCCAGAACATTGAAGTCAAGTTTGATTGCAAATTGCTGCATTCCAATAAGCCTTCAGATGTAAGTCTCCATGGAAGAAGAGAAACCCTTTTATATGTTCAAGAATTCAGAATTTCTTTTCAGAAATTAAAAATTCCCATGGATATCACGTGGCTTTGATCAATTCGAGAGGAATGGGCCCATGTAAGCACTGAAATGTGAACCATAGATATGAACTGAAAATGCGAACCTTTGAAGATTCAGGGTTTAGGACTTCTAAAACTAGCCTCACATCAATCCCCACATAAAAAAGAAGCCTCCTAGTCTTGCTGCAAGCTTCAGAGCTCCCTAAAATGGTTCTCTACTGGACCAGTTCAGCTATCCATCGAGCTCATTTAAATTCAAACTCAGACTCACGCAGCTGGTGGATCGAAGGTCGCTTCAATCTTTTCCTGAGAAGTCCAGTTCAGCTATTCCACCAACAAGGCGACGAAGATCAGACATTTGGTGGTAGCTCTAATAAGGGGAGGAAGCTCATCCTTCTGACAAACTATGAGGCAACGGAGATAACAGGTTTTACTAACTTCTTGCCTTGGTCTTGTACATATTTTTTGGACTGGAGTCTGATAGTCCACGTGTAAGTTAGTCTGATTTTCGGGGGATAATATAATAATATGCACGGCTTTCATCCCGACTTATAGTACATCGAGGTTTTTTGATTTCTTAGGTGACATTTAATTTGAGGATTGCTATGATATCTGACAAGTGTTACAAACCTTGTAATTAAACATGATATTAGTACTTGCTAGCATTAGATAAAAATTTCTTTGTTTGAGAGCATGGGCCGGATTCTAGCACAACTGCAGCTTTGTGTAGCTGTAACTCTGAGATTTTGGGTGGTTTTTGCCAATGTTCTTCTACTTTGATGCATAATAAATTAGATTATTTTTTAATAAAATAATAAGTAAATAAATACAATATCACATATTCACTCAAATATATTCAAGTATCTTGAAATTTTGGGTTTTGTTAATTTGGTTCCTTTTGGTATCCATGTCCTACATGATTCTAAAAATTCGTTCCAAGTGTTCGGAAACGACGAGTGATAAGGCCCACGGGACATTTTTTAACTGCCCAAACAATATTACAGTCAGGCTTAAGACTTCCAGACGAATCGAGCTTCTTTTCGATGTTTGAATTCAGTGATGTTAATGGAAATCATGACGATGATAAGGCTTTAAAAATCGTCGGAGGTATACTAGAATGGGTGCTTAATGTCATGATTGCAAACGATGGCATTTTGGGAACAATTTGTCAAATTTTTAAACCTTCTGAAATATTGCACATAAATAAACATCCCTCTAAGTCCATCACAACAATGATCATCCTAGACGTTGACAATTCCACATACAAAGTCTCCAGCTTGTCATCCACCATCTACTCGAGAAACAGAGTACTACGAAGTTGCGACAATCATTCAGTATAGTCATCCTTCCATTTCGAGTTTACGAAGCTCTTTCAGATGCTTCACAAATAGTTTCGAAACACACGGCTTGCGTTTTGGACTCTGCACAATCAATCCTGATCACGAGTTCGATGCCCCTATTAGTAGCGACAGTGCTCGCTATCCATCCAGTCTCAGTAACCTTCATCATCACTTACAATTGTACTTGCAATATCCACAACCCAGTCAATGGACATGCACCATTCAGTTCAAAATTGGGCAACATAGACGACAGTAAGAATATGACAACGATACGCCATAGTATTCTAGACAGTCATGAATATACTGCAAGCTCCATTGCATATGTCGCAGATGGGGATTTCCATCAGAGCATACGTAGAGTCTTTACATTAATTTCGTGATGGAAGTAAAAGATTCCTGCCCAGGCAGATCCCTATCACAGACTTTATTGTATTTCTGTGCGGAACATTTCAGTTTCATAATCGATGGCATTCACAGAAATTCAGGTTTCTAGTTCATTGCAGATTCCAGGGTCCTCATAGTACACCACTCGGAAACCGGAGCATGATGAGCAGGTCCTTCAGATGTCTAGAGATCATAAAAATCGACACCACGATGTCCGTCACGTTTCACCGTGGCTGGAGCAACAATTGGTACCTGTCGAAACGAATACTTCTCGTTAATTATTGAAACAAGCCAAATGAAATTTCATCACCAAAAGACTGAGAGAGTGCTCGCCGTTCTCATTACACCACGAGACGTTCTCAGTAGAACACGCATGTAAGTTCAGTAAGCACAGTCGAGAGCTGGGACTAGATTTCGGATCCGTTAACTGAAATTCGCTGCAGAGCGAATCAGGCCCTAGGAACTGGTCATGAGCAAAATTGATCGATACCATTCGGTGGATTGGGAAGTTCACCTCGTGCGAATTACCGACGAAACCACGCAATGGGACTTCTCTAATCGTCGTGATCCTTGTCTTCGTCGTCATCGTCTTTGTCGTCGTCATGGTCATCTTTGTCGCCGTCATCATTATCATCATCCTTGTCATCATCGTCCTCTTCGTTGTCGTCATCACCGTTATCTTTGTCGTCATCGTCATCCTCGTCGTCGTCATCCTTGTCTCCGTCATCATCGTCCCGTCTACGTGGCGGAGGAGGTGGAGGAGTATTCAGCATAGCTCGGGGAGGAGGCGGAGGAGGAGACTCCTTCTTCAGTGGAGGGGGAGGAGATTTCTCCTTAACTGGAGGTGGTGGGGACTGATCTTTAAGAGAAGGCGGAGGAGGAGGAGATTTTTCCTTAACTGGAGGGGGAGGAGATTTGTCTTTCGGTGGAGGCGGCGGAGGAGACTTTTCCGGAGGAGGAGGAGGGTTCCTCTCCCGGACTGGAGGCGGGGGAGAATCCTTGTCGTGGTGGTCTGAATTCCCTGAAACAGCGACGAACTGCACACTGCAAAGACTCACAACGATCAGCACGAGCCAAAATGACAGACGCCTGCCCTCACCAATCTTCCACTCAGGATTCGTCCTCATTTTGCTGTAACGAGATGCCTGGAGAATCGGCAACAATCCAACTGGTTACTGAATCTCAGCTCCAGCACGGTCCCTGCTTGTCGAAGAAGACAGAGAAGAATATTCAAGCTTGAGAGAACAGGACCCAGATCAGAGTTTATATACCCTTCTCCGAAGAATCTGAAGGATTATTTCCAGCCCAGTGTCCAGTGAATGAAGTACCTTCCATGGAATCAGCACGTCTCTTTTGGAAATACGTGAGACGATGTACATTCGATGTGCTGTACGTAGGAGTGCAGGCCATTGGCACACCTTAAAGTGTACAGCTTAAAGCTACAAGCTTACAGCTTGCTATGAACGACCGAACAAGACTCAGCAGCTGATGTCGCCTCGTACGTGACAGCGGATAATCAAAAGAAGAATGTGCCTCCCCCTCGCAGTCGGCAGCTACCGAAGAACAGGAAGAGTGACCGTGCCAGGAACATAGTTTCGATACGAAATAAACCCCCGCGTATCCAAGATTCTCAAATTTTCCTGGGCATCAATGGCCAGGATATCGCTTTAAGACTGAGGCTATCGAGACCTTTCCCCGTGATCCATCTATCGTTTCTCGACTCAAAAGTATCTGACTCGTAATTCCAGACCAAAACACCACATGCTTGAGAACTTTCTTGAAGACTACAAGAGTACTTCGTTACACGACGTCGTTCAATAGAGTCAAAGTGAGGTTAGGAGCTAAGAACCTTCACGTGTTACGATTTCCACACGTCTAGAATGTAGTTTTTTCCAGTTCTACCCTACTACTAAAAAAAGAGATTGTCACATACTTGATTCATAACATTAACCTACGTTGCACATTGTTACACATATGATTTTGTATATACAGTCTAAATGTAATATGGTAATCTAGTTGAATTTGTAATTCAGAAGATAAAAATCAAGATAATTCTAATATGTATATAGAATATGTAGAATATATTAGAATATATTCTAATATAGAATATGTATTCTAATATAGAATTTTTTTCATTACTATCCATAACATTTGTCGTTTATGAATAATATGATAGATATCATCCATAAGTATACGAATAGTTGATGTGTAATTTTTAAATGATAATTTTTTTCATACAATTGTTCAATGATATAAAAAAGAGAATTTTTTTTGACATGTCATAGTTTGATTGATATATAAAATCTTTTTTATACAAAACGCAATTATGTACAAAACAATAAACAACTCTTTATTGTTTCTTTGCATTAAAAATATTGAACTAAATATACAATAATTACATAAAATATTAATTATAATAGTTTAGAATTTGAACAATCAATTTTGATTTTCTTTGTATTGCAAAGAACATACTTGAATCATAAAAAAATACATGAATCAATTTTCCGTGAGGTTCACGAGAGTTTGAAGTATGTGTTTGGGATTTAATTTAAAAGTAATCAAGGTTTACAATTGCAAAAATGTAAGTCAACAATTTGGGAAGTATTTACTTGATAGAACGTGATTGGATTCTAAATTGTTTCATACAATTCATCAAGTTTTGTTTTACCTAATGATGTTTCACCGAGGTCACACCGTTGCAAAATTCTAAAACGTGTTACTCTACATATATAAAGCGAGCTTTAGTAGACTTCTTTGATCACAAATTATTGCAAATTTGAAAGATTTGTGTCAAATTTTTTGGCAGAAATCTGTAGCTGGATGCAGATTTTGAGCTGTCATCTTCGACCGCGTTTCTCGTGATTGTTCGCTTCCTGTCAAATTTCTTGTTTGATGGATTGGATGATCTGATCGATCAAGTGAAATTTGTTTCAAAATCTATCAAGAAAAATGACAGATTTTGTTGTTGGCCAACCTTGCATTTAGTTCATACTCTTCCTCTGCATGTTGGAAAATAGATCGCTCTTTGAACGAAGTCAAATTTGTCAAGGAATAACAAAAGATTTTGAAAGTGTTGGTGTTAGATCAGACACTGTCAAAGTTAAATCTGTTCCATCGCACAATCATGATTGACCGTTTTCACTGCTCAATTTCTAATTGGTATATGATTTTTCCACCAAACCATCAAAGAATATTAATCAAACAATATTTTGCTCAAAATGAGATTCAAAGTCTTTCATGCCAAATTAAGCAAATTTTCTCGTGCAAATCGCTACTACTTTCACTACATACACTGTGTTGATACTAGAATATGCGTGATACTAGTTGAATGTACCGTCGGTGGGTTCTCATCGGATAAAACAAAACTTAAAGTATCCCAATAAGCAATTTAGATTAAGATGGGGTCCCAGCAAATAAATATCTCGCAATTTGGAATCTTCATGTTTAAATGTAATCCATTTGTACCTGGATCAAAGCTTATCTAGTTCCCACCATTTTGCATGGGGAATATTTTATGTTGACAACAATAGTTGGAGAATGAAGAGATGTTATGTGGTTAGATGCATGATATGTTTTTTCAGTAAAATATGACAACATTCAGCTAGAATTTCCTGAACAAAGATAGAGAAATCATTTTCTTGTTTTCTAATTGTGATAAAGATGAGTGTGGTTTACTTGATTCTGTTGAGGGAAGAAACAAAAATAGCTCTCTCAAAGAGGATTCAGTATCTGTGAACGAAATTTATGCAGCCGACACATCCACATACCAATCCCATATTCAGTCATGTGAACAGAGACTCTCACGGAATGACACCAGGAGAGGACGTCCAGACCCAGTTTGTAGAGGGTTTTCCTGCAAACATTTCTGCTTTCTAGAAGACGCGGGTGAATGAGACTGAAGAATCAAAAAATCTGCAGAATGCCGAGAACCAGATTTCTGTCCAGTGGCCGGAAATCTAAAATGATCTCGAGTACACGAACAAACCTGTTTACGGTTTCCATGCTTCCCAGAAGTTTACCTCTTCATATCCCAAACAACACTTAAATTGTCCCTCGTCCTCCTCATACCTCGATTCGACAAAAGTCACGTCGGAGATCTTTCGTTTGGGAAGAGAGTACTGACTATAAGAAAAATGTAGACTTTGAGAGATGACTTCGTTTTCAAGCTCACCGCTTCGATTGCAGATTACCGTCCAACCACCCGCTTTTGGGTGCAGATCTTTCGTTCTTCCAACGATCTCTATGGAAGCGAAGGGCGAAAGAGACATTCCAGCAGCGACCTCGGAGAGCGAGCCAGAGAAATGAAGATCGGATCACAGCGAGGCGGCTGTTTGGCTTTATGCGATGAGGATCATGGATTGGCTTTAACTCACGATCGATGGGCCTGTCCAATCCTGAACGCCTGAGGCTCTTAACCCAGAGGATACTCAGTCTTTAATGCTGAAGGGCTCGGAGTGTGTGGGAGAAAGTTTACAGTCCGTGTGATGCGAGGAAGTCAAACCTGCCACGCTTCCAGTTTCTCAAATCCTCTGCCTCCACAGATCGACATCGAGAGGATCGTGGTCGTGGTCGAACTAGATAGAGAACACTGATTGTTGCAACCCTCCACATATTCACAGTCACAGCTCTCCACATATTCTCCTCGGAAGTGCTACCGCCTGCCTTTCGTTCATCTCCTGGCTGTCTGAATCTCCTCGCTGCAGCACCTTTCAGCGTTCACCTTACACGCTCGGAGTACTTTTGAGGTGCACGTTGCATGGATCGTTAATTAGTAAAATCATCCGTCAAAGCTTTAAATATTATAACGAATTACACAACGACTTAGTTCTTTGTGGCAAAAGTATTAATATATATATATCTGAAACAGATGGTTGAAGTACGATCCAAATTATCTCAACATAAATATTCTTTAACATTTTATAAACGACATTCTATTATAATTATGATAATGGCATATCCCAGATAACATTTTGGTTTATTTTTTCCAAATTTGCTTTGATATATTTTCAATATTTTATCTATAAAGTATAATTATAATAATATAATATAAAACAATCATGTACACTAAAGTCTATAGCACGTACCTTACCGTAAAGGTTACGAAGTGCAACGGAGATGTGAAACCGTAATGGTGAGACAACGATCTATCAGAGACACCCCGGAAGAAGTGAGCCACGATTCGTCACGGATGCAAGAGTTGCTCAATCCTCGTGGACCTCATTCTTCTTCCTGGGAGGAGTATAGAACGGATCCAATGTGCTTCGATCTTCGTCAGCTGTGTCGAGACTCAAGTCCGAGATGTCAAAATGGACGGATCGTGTCGGAAAGGGGCCGCGGAAACTCGATAATGAGGGAGGGATTGAATAATGATCGCCACAAGGAGCCGTGAGGGTGCGCGGCGGCACCTTCACGAGCAACCCGTGCTTGCTGGCCACACATGCACAACGAAGTGATAGAGCCATCCGAATAGAATCAGCTCCTTGTACTTGGTGACTGCAACTTGAGAGGCCATGATGACCATGGACTCGTGGCATCCTCAAAGAGCGAAAGCTTCAAATGCCTATCTTCCCACCTCACTTCTGTCCGCACATTACTCACTGTTGCCATAGAGGAACGACTTCTCTTTGAGACCACATATTTATGCCACCATTATTCCTGCAAATCCCTGAACATACCTCCTGCTAGAGAAGCTGGTATGGCATCCCCTATTCAATCGCATCTCACTGGAAACTGCATTGCAATTGCTTACTGCAACACATTTCAGCGGCACAGACTAAATCAGGGCCAATCGTTTGGTTTTAACTTGTCGTTTGAAATGTGGATCTTATGCCATACATTTACGAAATAGATACTCATAAGCATTTGTGATTGACGACGGTTTATGATTTCTCTTCAATATAATGATGACAGTCTTTGGCGGGGCTTGAGGTTGATTTCTTCATCAGCTGAGGCCATAGTTCTTAACGGAATCATGCATTCTGGTAGAGTTATACACAAAGCATTTGAAAGACTACACCTCGGCCTTATTGATGTAGCTTCCGGGGCTGAAGACCACAATGAAATGATTTGTGCTAATTTGTCATAGGGTCATCAATTGTGTGATGATAACGTGCACTGCACCTGCATCAGAGTTTGGGAATGGTAATACTTTTCGGGGTCTTCCCATATCAGCTCGTATTCACCATGCTTGTTATTTCCACAATTCAAGACAAGGGAATATCTTCCGTTTGACGCACAGCGGGCGGACAGGACTGCAGGATCCACAATTCCAAACTCCAATAGCCTACGCTGATAAGCACAGTCCATTTCATAGTCTCGCCATATGGTTTTACATCTTATGACTCAAACATAAATTTCAATTTGGAAGATTTTTCTTATCCTTGACCGCCTCTCGGGCAGATGAATAGAATTTTTATCCACTTGATTAAGAGATTCTTCAGAGTTCATGTTTTCGAAGTCTATGTGGGCTCACTTACTTTCTTTGTACATGCAGAAAAGGCATTTGTGTGGAGAGGGTAAATCCCGCGGTTATGGCTATTCTGATACCAGTACCGAGAAGCAGGATAACCCTTGCAGTTTAATTCCAGCCTACAGTCCCCTGGGACTCATTTGCCCGAACATTGATCCTGAGTCTCACAGATCCGAATTGAGGCTGATTCAATACTACGCACTTTTGTCTCCATATGCATTAGAACTTACGCTTGTGACAACTCGATTGTTAACATCAATCATCCGGATTTAATACTTGTCGGTGTTGATAGGCTGCTATCTAATCAGAAGGTACATGGGAAGTGATTTGCTAGAGAAGACGATGTTGTTGCTTTCGAAAGAGTAACACAGAGATCTGCGTTGCGTTCCTGGACCTGATCTATCATAATACTTATAATTCCCAGGGTCTACAAAGTTGCTTCTGAAACAGTTTTTCAGCATGCATCCAATGCGTCCATGTATGTGGACCGTGCTGATCAGGATCTTGAGCGACGAAGACTTGTGTCGAATGATTGCTAAAGAGTCGATTGCTTTAAGGAGAAAATCCAAATCCACTGTTTCAAAATTATATGTTTTTTGGACACTGAAAGCTAGTCATTTGAACCACTCAATCCATCTAGAAGCTTGGATGTGGCACCACGCCGAGAAGAAGAAGTCTACAAGCTTGAGCATGTTCATCAGATTAAGCTTCTTGTGCTTCGCATATGCGCTCATGAAGGCTCCCCTTCCGAATTGTCCGGTTGAATGAATGGCTTGAAGCATGTCCTGAGACTCAGAATGACGGCATGAAAGATTGCAGCCGTCTCTATCTATAGATTCTCCCCGACCTTGGTCATCATTATCGTCATCTGTAGACAGCTTCATTGCGGAAAAGGAAATGTGCGGAGACCTGGTGGACCATTTGCATGTCTGCTGAAAGCCAGCACTCTCAACAAGTCGGCCCCAGATGTAAGTTTCTACCAGTGTATTGATCGCTCTTGTGTAAGTACAAGTGAGAAATCAGGAAATATACAATCAAGACCCAAATCAAGACGAAAACAAATCAAGATTCTCAATACTTTATAAGTACCAATTAACATACATGAAAGCGTTTTCGCAGTATATTTGATAGTAAAGAATGAAAAAAAAAATAATGCATAATAATATGTAAAAATTAATAACTTAAAAAATATAATTGCATTTTAAAAAATATATATATATAAATTATTTTACAAAATAATGAATTTTTTCATTATTATTTATTAAGTAGTTATATACTGAATAAGCTTGAGTGTAAGAGAAATAATGACGACAAAAACTAATGGAGAGATAAAACGAATGGCAAATTGATTTAAGAAAATATGATTGTTTAAGTTATGAGAGATTCTTTTGCTACATTTGATTGGATATTTTTATTATAAAAATGTTTTCAGAGAGCAAGCATTGATTCAAAATTTTTAAATAGCAATATAGCAAATGAGACATAAATGATTCAAAAAGAGAAACCTTTGACCTCGAATTAATTCTTAAGTTCTAATTGAAGGATGTTTTGAGTGAGTACTAAAGCCTTTTGATATTTCTGAGCGAGTGGTTAAGACGAATGGCCGCTATGTACATGGAGTCTCCCGGCGAGAGTTTGAAATGTCACGACAAAACAACCAAAAAAATGGTTTTTCCATTCATTTTATCTCTCCGTTTTCACTTTTTCATGTCTCGCTTTCTGAGTCCGTTTTTATCCTCGTTCATATGCCAAAATTAGAGCGTTATGATATTTTATAACAATCTCATTTCATGTTAATAAAACTTTTCACCAAAACTTGATGCATGATAAAATTTTAGCTTGACAAGATCACAATTTTTAGCCTAAATTGATATTCAAATATTGATATAAGGTTAAGATTAAAAATTTGTTATCATTTATCAAACTTTAGGAGTGAAATGTGATTGAATGCAAGAAAAATATAGGATTTTTAAAAAATAAAATAAAATTTATGAACTTTTATTATTTAGATGGGGCTATTACTCCCAACCTATTGTTTTTCTTTTCCCATACTCCTTCCTTATCCCACTCCCTCTTCTTTAATTTTCATCACTTTTGTCTGCGTCTTTTTTATTCCTCCCCCAGACCGCTTACAACAATGTTGATGCCTTAAGGCTGAGTGCATGATGCCGCTCATCTCTATAGCGTCACCATCAAGTTTTTCCCACCCTTCCCATTATAGAAGTTCGGAGACAAGGCGAGGGGGGGAGGGAATAAGCAAATCAGCAAGGTGTGAGTATCAATCCCCTTTAGATATTGTGCTAGACTAAAGTTTTAACCTGCGGATGAGAAATACAAATTGATGACTTCAAATTGATATAAAGTCAAATATATATACAAAAGTTATTACAAGTATATAGAATTTAATATATTAGTAATTACATTTGATACATAATATTAATTTAAATAAAAAATCTTGTGAAGATGTGAAAAAAATGTGAAATTTGAATATCAACTCATATTTGTGTGAAGTTTTGAAATGATACAATGTAAAAAATGCCAAAGATAACTAAATTTGCCAGATTGATACATTAAAAAATACTTTTGTTACAGAATACTGTTCTTAAAATCAATAACTAAAATGTGAAGTTTGGATATCAGCTGACAGTTAAGATTGTGTGAAAGGAATGTTTGACATTTCCAATATACTTTCTACACGAACATCTGTATATTATCTTATGATATAAATATATAGTTAGATATAATTTCACTTTAACATAAAATGATCATTGCTTATAATTTGCTATAAAATATGAAATTTTTTCAACTCCACAAATTTCTAACTTTACAGATTTACATCTTTGTAATAAAAAATTTTTTCACCAAGTAATTTCAAATGATCTACGTTTCATTCTACTTTTTTTGAATTGGATTTCTCATTTATTCAAATAAAATTCATATTCAAATGTTTGATGTTATGACATATAGATATTAGAAATAATAATATCATTTGTGTTTTCTGTAAAATATTATTGACTTTTAATTTTATAGATTGTAATATCGTTGAAAGATGAGTAAAATGTAAAAGTAATTTTTACACTCCATTCATCTTTTAAAGATTTTTAACAATTCAGAGAAAATTTGAGCCTAATTTTTTTCGTCTTTTGATCTTTTGATAACATCAGCTTTTTCAACTCTCAAAAAATACTTCCATGTTAATCATTTAAAAAAAAATCCTAAAGAACAAATGATAATATCATCATTTTTTAACATTTGCTTTGTTTAAAGTCTAGAGGTTGTTAAATTGAGAAATTAGAGGCTTGATTTTGAAAGTAGTATAAACGAAAACAAAGAGTGCAAACAGCTTTGATCAATTTCATACGTATTAAACCTGAAAAATCTTATAATTTGACTGAAAAATGGACTTCTTATTGATATTTAAGGTTTTCACATCTTTATAATGAAATTGAATAAAAATCTATCATTATCAGGTTTTCTTTTCTTTTTCAGTGAAAGTCTATTAACAAAGTGATTGAACAAAAAATAATTTAAAAAAAATTTCTACTACGTTACAGGTACAAAAAGCCAACTCCACAACTATGTAGCACTATGACCATGTCCAAAATCGTCCATGTCCATGGGGGGCAGAGCTTCCAAATGTGTACGGAAGTTATGCTCATCAATATTGTTTGTCATGTAAAATACCATTGTATTAACATGACACGTTAAACTCATGGAGTGCTGGAAGAGTACACACACGTTAACCAGCTATCACTAACCTGTGTGTACTGTTAAATATTCAAGGGAAAGATGAATAACAAGTGCCAAGTAGAGAATAGACGCAACAAATCTCCACCATCTCGGTTCCATTACTCTCACGGCAATGGAACCTTGAGAGTTAGAATACTACAAGCAACATACATGGTCGCAATTTGAATAGCATTGGTGGGCAAAGTTGGCTGCTATGATTAAATTTAAAGTAATCTGTTGGCTTCCACTATGAAGTCAACAATTGGAAAAACCTGACAAATCTCGAATAACTTGTCAACACGACTAATTCTTGTCAGGAGTAGAATTCAATACAAGAAACTGAGCCTTGTTTTTACTCCTAAATGTATCCTCATAAAACTTGACAATTTGATTATCTATCATCAACTATTTTCTAAGATGTTGCAGAATAGGTTTGGTAAATGTTACATGTATCTCTACTGAAAAAAATCATATCACTGATATAGGAAAGAAAAATAATAATTTAGTTACCACGGTGCTAGCCAAAACACGGTTTGTATTAAGATTAAGAAAAGCTCATGAATTCTAATAACATCTCTATTTTGTGCTTCGAATTCGGTATCCTTCATGCCAAGCCTACTGAAGATAATTCTACGAGAATGAGCTGTTTCAACGGAATTCGCCATCTTGCAGCCCATGCAGCTCCCATAGCACGCCTAGACATGGTCACGTAGCCGACTAAGGACTCAAATTTAGCCGGATAGCCGGCCAATTAGCCGATTAGTTCACGGCTATCGGCCGAAAACGTATTTCGGCTAAATATTCGGTCGAAATAAGGATTTGGGATAAATTTCGGCTGAATCAGCCGAAATAATCGGTCGAAAACTCAGAGTCGATCCAGGTTTTCGGATCGTTTTCGTCCTTGGATAGCGTTCCGGCTGAGTTGACTGACCGGCTAACAAAAAAATTAGCCGGCTAGCCGTTAGCCGACCCGTGAACAATGTTACAAGTTCACCCATCCAAATCAAACAAAAAATTCAAGTTAGAGCACAAAAGTTCGAAAACGGAAATTTTCTCATACTAGATTACATGAATGCGAAGTGTGGATCATGACACACAAAGAGTTAAAGCGTGCCGTCGCCAGAAGTCAGTTTGAGGAGAACTATACTCGACATGGAAGAAATATCGAACAGTTGCGAACAGCGTCAAACGTCTACCATCTGAACTAACTCATCGCCGTCGACAGTTCTGGCAGGCCTAGGACCGACGACCGAGACACTTCTCTGGTCTGAACAATACCCAACCACCGCTACAATTGAAAGGACGACAGTGACGAAGGCACCCAGAATCACATACCAGGGAACATGGCGGCCGAGGCTGTCACAAATCAAGAATGCATTGTACGGAAGGTACGCAACAAAAATAACGACGGCAATGAGGGAAACGGTGAAAACGGCCCCTAGTACACTGAATACGATGTAGAATGCGAACCCGCTGACAATTCTGAGGAGAAGTGGCAGCTCGTTCATGTTTTCCGGTGAGAGTTTCTCAATTTGTTCAGGAAAGAGTTTCTGAGCGAGACTGAGGAGCGTGTACAGAATGTAGTAAAGGAGGACACTGGCTAGCACGAAGAGAATTTGTACCATTTCAACGTAGAAAGTTGGATGTTCAGGTTGGGTGGAGTGCACAAGGGGCACCGCATCGACGAGCCAGAAAAGAACGAACATGTAAGGAGCCATGAAGATCCCGTAGATGACGATAATGATGGAACCTAAAGCCAAGACGCACACGAGGAACCAGGAAATTACCACGCTCCAGAACACAGCTTTGATCACCAGCAGCAGAGACGGATGAAGGTTGTTGCGGGCCCATGCCCACCAAGATGCAGCTCTCAGAGTAATCGTCTGCCAGATCTCCGACGAGGTCCCTCGATTTTGACTCTGGATCCCTGACTGTGATTCTCTCTCCATTGCGCTCCGCCGACGATTGCGTTTCTCTGCTGAGATCGTCCGTTTGTCCTCGTCGTGTCTGGACTGAAACGATGGCGATCGTCTGTGGATTTGGCAGATTCAAGCGCAGGGTGAGCGATGATGACCGGGTTTGAGTTCTAGTCTCCTGATCCCTCGTGGTCGGGAAGCCCTTGGCTTGCTGTCCGACGTCGTCACAGCTTTTCGTTTTTCTTGAAGGTTGGAGTTGCGTTTGGAGTACGATTCTCTCTGCGAACGCGATCATGTAAAGAGTCCTCGATCGGCATCGGGCCAATCCTAGTTCAATTCAGCAGAAATCAAGTCGGCTGCATGTGGAAGAAAACTCCGATCAGGCTCGAGCTCACCCTCACATGGATATGGTACGCTGCCATGAAAGGCAACGCTGGGGGCCCACTTCTTCAAAACTGTCGACCAGTCAATAAGCAGAACAAAAACACGAGCTGGAACGAGAGCCCAGTGCAAAAGTTTCGAGGCTTCACAATCGCATGTGCACCCGATGGGTTTCCTTGCCCCTTCCTTCCTGGTGGGGCGAGTCGTCGGGCGAGGATCAGACACGCAATCGATCGAGATTTCGTTTTGAGTACTTGATAGATTTCAACGCGCTGTAGTACGTCACCAGGCACGAAACTACTCAGCTCAAGGACTCGAGCACATACTGGTAAACCAGGTTCAATGAGAGTCCGGAAAAGCGGTCGCATTGTTCTTCGTGGCCATCTCAGTAGGAGTGGAGCCCAGTTCAATAGTCAGCTTATCAAAAGCAAATCGTCCGTGCTTTCGTTTGTGAACCGGCATGTGTGCTCAGATCCACTGAGCTTCTGTCGGCTGCTGAAGGGTCAAAGTAATAACTGGAAAATTCTCTAGACGCCAAGTCTGTTAGACAGAGAAAATATTGTCTAACTGAGATTAAGCAGAGTCCACAAAAGCGCGTGCTCGTGGATCTTACTTTCCTATTTCCTAACGTTTGAACTCTTATATATAAGAGACCCCCGCATCCGGAACATCGGATATAGGCCTGAGAGAAAGTAATGTGATTCAGAGGTAGTAAGTAATATCTTCACCGGCCGAATTTGGATCTCTAACCATCAGATATAATTTTATGACGATTTTTTTCTGAGCCCCCTTTCATCATTATGGAAATTATTCAGCTTTTTCCAAGCCTAAGGGGTATTATCAACTGATGGCAGCTGTTTGCCCTCTGGAGGGGAGATTACCAACGCGTCAACCACCGGAAAGACACCGCTAGGATCCTATTGCCAAGGAATTACGAGATTTAGAAGTCTCATCACTAGCTTGGATAGAGTATTGGTTGTTTTTTTGTCTCAGGTCGGAGTAGATCTCAGTTCACTAAAGACTACCTCAAGTTTTCACTCATGACGAAGTCTTGGCATCTCAAGTGTTCAGCCTGATAATCTAAATCAATAATGAAAGTATTTTACCCTGTTCAAGTAACAAGTTGATGCAGTTATTTTGAGCCAGCTGTTCATATAATAGTACATGTTTTCCATATTAAAATTGAACACGTTATCACGGCTCCCTTGTGTGCCATTTGATGTTGACTTCCAAGCCTTTTTATTATATTAGTAGGTGTTTGACCTGGAATATTTACACAATATATTTTTCAAAAGAATTCCTCAGGATGATAATGTTTAATTGGGGATTTACTATTAACTATTTCTAGTGGCAAGATTGATGATTCCTCACCAAATCATCAATCTTGCCTCTAGAAACCAGGGGTGGAAAAACCTAATTTGTATCAAAAATAATTTCACGTTACTAAAATTTCCTTAAAATACTTGATTTCAATAATGATTTTAATTAATTGTATTAGACTTTTAGTACCGAATGAGTACAGAAGAGTGTGGTTAGTGTACTAACAACTAGCTCATGCATCTAGGCTTTCATAATCATCATCGGATCCATCCGCGCTGTCACAACCAGACTCGTCGTCAACATCGAACAATTCTCTCATACTCGCTGAGAACGTCGGATAGTTGGTCTTAGTCACGAATTTATCTTACCTCCATGACACACCTATTTAGATCAGATTCTTTGCTATTTCTGCTATCTCTACAAACCTAGAATCCATGTAGGACTCAACTACGCACTTTGTCATGTAGATGTTCGATATTAATACATATTTAGTCAAGAATTTTTTAACTCTTTCGCCTCATTAGCAGGCAAATGAGTAAAAAAAAATCTAAACCCAGATTTTATGCCAATAGTACATTACGGATTAAAATTAAAATAAAATTTTAAACCTGATTGCAAAACAATTAATGTTTCCAGCCCTGCTAGAAACAGGCCTGCTCCCGTTTAAGAAGATCTGCACCACGTTGCAAGGCACGCCCATTGCAAAGTATTTCCATAATCATGATCAGCGAGCAAAATGTTCCAAAATGTCCCATAATGCGTTTGATGGTAGAATTTCCCGGCCCTGATCTCATCGTTAGCACATCTAAGATTTTATGGATTTCTTCTACCACAGCCTCGAGATCAATCCCTTCTCAATGAACGGCCTTGCTCATAGAATTTGCAGAAGACAACCAAGCTGCCATTAAATTAGTCCTGACAACAGTTGAAAGAAAAGCAAATAAATTGTTTTGATTGTGTCATGATTTATTCTTACCATCCATTTCAGAATAAAATTCATCATAGATTACAGATGGAGCGCGACAAAGCTACCTAGGTGCAATCACTTATCTAAAAAGTCACTCGGATTCTTACATCTTGACCCTCTTTTTCACAGACTCCGCAACATCCTTATCGTAAAACTATGGTGTCTCTCTAATCACATTCCAATCATTTGACCCACGAGTTTTGCACAGCAGTGTTCGTCTCCTGAAGAGCCTGCCGCTCGAAGAGTGCAGGTGAGGAAAGCCGACGCCAGCACATCTAGAACACTGCATGTGGTCGGAACATGCAGTGCTCAAAATTGCACTCGTGTATAAACAAGGTTACCAACTGTATAACAATAACATAATCTGATCTTTATTCCTGTCCATTCTACAGTTGTTGTACCCTGATCATTCATAACAATAACAGAACTATCATTCTGGAATATGCATCAAAATTCAATGCTGACTACCAAACGTTTGAGTGAAGGGATTTCATCATGGTGAGACTTGCAACAAGCCGCAAATGAAACTTTGTCCTCAAAATGTAATTTTGATAGATTAGTCAAAGACAAATATTACTCAGAAACATCACTGCGCGATTGACATGATTGCAAAGATTTTGAAAGACTTTTACGAGTAAAAACTCTAAGGAAGATTTTGCAGACATTCATATTGCATGAGGCTCTAAACATATCCTTGTCAATTGCATAATGACATTCCTACCTCCTTCGAATCCTAAACTATCAAAACTCTGCTATTAAGACCTTTATGCATGCACTCCTCGCACACCCATGCATGCTCATATAATTCATGCCCATCTAATTCTTGACTCACGTATTTCACCTGATACAACTTGAATATCGCTGAATAGCTACCTCGAAGCTGAGGCTCAAGCTTTTGCTGAATCCTCAGCCATGCTTCGTTGAGCTCCATGCTTTTCCCACCTTTTCTAACTGCCCTACGATCACGATCGCTAATGCCTTCTAGTTTAAAAATATCGGATTGTAAATCTTCCCAGTCCGGAATCGCTTGGCCCAGATTGAGGGTCTTATCCAGTCCAGCCTTCACAGCATAATACATGACTTTGCATGTAATTTCAACAGTTTTCTGAATCCATGCACAATTCTCCTGATCCAAGCGTATCATCACACCTTCTTGATCTTTGACCATGTGAAACCCATCGACCGATTCACACATCAAGTGTAAACGAACGGTTTTACCTAAATGCAATTTTGCACTCATGCTATAGAAAATGCCAACATCGTTGGCAACGTATGGTATCTTCGGAGTTTTCGCCTGCTGAAGCGAATGAAAATACTGAATCAACCTGTCCACTTCAGACCTGAATAAACTGTAGTTCTTGTTGACTCTAGTTGGCTGTAGTTCTTGTTGGGAAGTAAGTATGTGTCCCAACTTGCTCTCTATTGATCTCAACCTCTCAAAACGGTATGAAGAACTTGAATTGCCAACCCTGTTATCACTTTCACTGTAAGGTTGATCCAAATCATTGCTCAATTGTTGAACGCACTTTTGTCGGATCTCATTCACAACCGCTTTCACATCGCTCTCTTGCAGCAAATATCTAGCTCTTTCGCCTATTTTCAGTGTGTGCCCTTCAATCGAGGGCCAAGACTGCTCATAGTTGAGCAAATCTTCATCTTTCACCAAGTGCAATCTATTCGACAGAATATCCTCAAGTTTCTCATTGATGCTACGAATGAAGTTTGATTTGAGCTCCTCTATCAGAATTGCTCCTCTGAGATGACTCGGAATCAGCTTCTCCACGCAAAGTGTTTGGATCACACCCAACACTAACGCCACCCCGGGACAGCCTTTGGGTGATGCGCAGAATGATTTCAACTCCTCTACGATATGCTTCATCACGTATTGCAGAGCCTCCGACCTTGATTTATGCTTCGAGCGTAACATCAGTACGTCCACGTATTTGTGGGACGTTCCTTGCTCGATGTAGATCTCATGCCCATCAAGGAAAAGTTGCAGATAGTGTCGAGAGCAGGTTACATTCTTCTTGGGAACATTTAACTCCGATATCAACTTGCGTCTCATGAACATCTGCAATGATACAAAATTTAACAAAAATTGAGCTGCGCATTTCATAAATTGAATTCATCCTATGAAAAAAGAACACTCCATCACACATAGGCTACAATCAGAAGTTGACGCATTCAATCTTCTCACAGTATATATGAAATCACCTGAAAGCATGGGAAAAAAGCAGCCGTTAGTGCCATTGTTCTTGCATCTTGGCATTGAATTCGGATGCCGACAAACTGTGAATTCTTATCCCTTGTTTCCCAAGCCAATTCTTGAGGCTTCTGGTCTTCCGTGTTTGCATGCTCAGGTATGAAGGAAGGAATGAAATACTGAGAAGTATCTTCCACCTTGAAACACAAATCTAAATTAATGAGTATGTCTTCAAGCACCTGAGTGGTCACACCTCCCTGTCCATGTGGTTGCTTTCGCAGAAACTCCTCCATCAAGCGAACAAAGACGATCTCGCTGACAAATCCGTCCTTGCTTGCGTATGCGCTTCTTTCAAAGGACTTGGACTTTATAGGTTGAAAGTTTTGACCTAGAGCTACCAGCTTACCCAATAATGTATAAGTAAGCCAGTTGGGATCTACAATGATGTAATCAAGGTTGGGGATAGAAATGATGGATCCAACGTCATTCAAATATGATATTATTGCGCTCATTATCCTCTCATGACCAACTGAATGAGCTGAAGATGATGGAACAAATTCTGTCAAACTAGGAGCACAGATTTCATTGAAGTTTTTGTATGGCAAGAGAGGGCAACTTCTATTCTTCTTGGTGTTTGAAACCAAGAGGCAGGAGAGGTGTGAACACAATTGGGGAACCCGTGGGGACTT